CATTTGTCTTCAGTGATCGTATCTGGGAGGTGAGCACACTGATATGAATTTTTGTTCTTTGATGCCTGATAACTGATCCCTTTGGTACCTCGTGATCACACAGGCTGGTGTGCTTCTTCCACGTGGGCTTTGTTGCTTCTGAGCTAGATGGCCGCTTGCTTACCTTCAAGTCTTTAAAACCCTAGAGGCTATATATTTTGATAGTTGGGTTCCATCAGCTTTCTTCACCACATTTGCTTATACACCCTCTTTGTCTTCAGCGATTGTGTTGGGAAGGTGAGCATCATGGAATGCCAGTTTAATAGAACAAAGTATTCTTGCATTGAGGGAGTACTTGAGACACTTACACTTTCATACATATTTATATACATAGCTATATACAACATAAGAAATAGCTAATTAGTCTGTAGAACAGTACAAATGGCTCAGTGCAACTCACTTCCATGAGACAGCGAATACACTGGCAGTCCTTCCAAGTCTTGAGGGCTGTTGGGTGCAAGTCAAGGAAGCAGACAGCTGAGTTCTTTTTACAGGAATTCAGGCAATCCGGCCACAGGCAGCAAACAGCAAGGCAGGTCACCACCTGCCAGCCAGATGACAGGGTCCAACAGTCCCCAGCTAAAGCGATGTAGAGTCTAGTAGCATGGCAAAGCAGGTCTTGAAGGAGCCTCAAACTAGTGACACAGTCCACTGGTTGGGTTTCCCATGAGAAGTGTAGCTCTCAAGTTGAGGCAGAGACCCAGCTAAGTTAGCAGCCACACAACTGGTCTGATCATTAAAGAGCAAGAGACAAGAAAGGCAAGGCTTGCTAAACCATTTGTCTCTGTCCTTCCATTTAATCCCACAGTGTTCACTGTCCAGGTTGGCACAATAAACCTACTTATCAGAGTTGGTATGTTTGAGCCCATTCTTGTGACTGTTGTGTCAGTCCAATCCATTGGGGGTTCCTCTTGTTTTTGCAGGCCCTCTACCAGCATGTGGATAGTCCAGTTTAAATTTAAGGTGAAATGCATGAGCATTATCTTTTAATACTCATCATATCTAAAATTACAATGTAGTGCCTCTTCTTCATGAAATCTTTGATTCTTCCCAAAATAGATTAGGGCAAGGAGGGGAGAAGTAATCATGCAAGACCAGACCAGTTTCTATTCTATTCATGAGTGGCAGATGATTCTGAGGGTGAGCTCCAGATCATTCTTCACAGACCACTCTGGGATGACTTTACACTTCCCACCCCCACCCACAGCCTTTTGGTTAGCAGTCAAGCAAGTAACCATTGCACTGCCCAGGAACATTGTGCATCTAGTTCTTAGTAACCACTCTCACCAGTCTAGGGGACTAGCAATTTCATTGAGACAGTTTTACATACCTAACAATTTACCCATTTCTAGAGTGCTTTCGTCATCCCAAAAAGAAGCCTCCTATTTTTTATCCATTCCCTACTAACATCTCCATCCCCTGCATCCCTGAGGACTTACTGTCTGTCCATTTAGCTTTGCCTTGTATAGGTAAGCGCTTTACATAAAAGGGATTACATAACATGGGCTTTTGTAACTCACTTTCTTCACTAAGCCTGTTTTATCATTATTTCATCCCTTTTTATTGCTGAGTAATACTCCACATTTGAGTTGTTTTTACTTTTTGGGCATATATGAATAATGCTGACACGAACATTAGCATTTTTGGATAGACGTGTTTTTACATTCTTTGAATATATACCTAGGAGTAGAATTGTTAGGTTTTATGATTACTCTGTCTAACATTTTGACAAATTTATGCATTGTTTTCAACAATGGGCGTACCATTTTAAAGTGTGTGTGTGTGTGTGTGTGTGTGTGAGAGAGAGAGAGAGAGAGAGTGTGTGTTCTAGGCCAATGGGGCTTTCTGTTCCCATAAATATTTACAAAACCACAGAAATGCTGCATATAGTCACTCATTACAAAGTTGCAATCAACTAGACGGTTTGGGTAGTGAGCATGAGGTGGTATTTCATTATAATTCGATTACATTTCCTTGATTACTGGTGATGTTGTTTTCTTCATGTGCATATTTTTCATGAGATTGAGTCAAAGATCCTTAGCCCACTTAAGAAAATGGGTTGCTTGTCCTGTTAAGAGAGTTCCCTCTTAAAAGAGTTTTAAAGTTTCGGTGCTTATAGTTGACTCTTGGACCTACTCTTAGATTTTGTACATGGTATGAAGCAGAGATCCAGCTTCTTTTTTGTTTGCATATCTAGTTGTCCCAGCATAATTTGTTGAAAAGTCATTTTAAAAAATTCTAATCAAATTGTTTTGGCACTCTTGTCTAAAATCATTTGACTCTTAATATGAAGTTTTGTTTCTGGACTCAGTTTTATTATATTGCATTCCATTACCACATTGCTCTCGATTTATGCGGTTTACTCTAGTTTTGAAATTAATAAGTACAAGTCTTTCAAATTTGCCTTTTCATAGGAGTGCTTTGTGATTCTTAAATACTTTGACTGAAATTTCAGATTTTATCAAGTCTGCAAATACTGTCTCTTGAAATGACAGGCTTCATTCGTTTTTGACAGTGCATACCAAACAACTCAATGTTTTTTGAAACTCCCTAGCACTTGGTAAGCAGTAGAAATATTTTAAACATTTCTTTCTTACACGGAATATGAAAAATGTGTTCATTCAAGGGTTGGTACTTTAATAAACGAGTAAAATAGGCTTAAAACAAAAAACCTGTGAGTTTGTGGTGTGAAGAGAGTGATAGCTCCTAGTACATTTTGGTATACTGCCTTGATTTGTGCTTGGTGTCAGCAGTTTTACCCACTATCGGCACAAATGTCAACACAGTGAAAAAGACAGATGAGTCATTTCTTATGAAAATAGCTTTGACCTTTTAGACCACATTTTGAAAACTACTGCCCTAGTTAGTAAGATTGCTGGATGGGATGGGGGAGTTAATGTCAGATTCGCACTCCCCTCATCCAGGGTATCTTGGGTAACTTTAAATAGTTTCCCTTTGCAAGAGTGCTGTCTGCTGCCACTAAGTTGTACTTTCTGCTTCTTGTAACCTAGAATTTAGTTACCGTATATACATGTGTATAAGCGGAGTTTTCAGCATATTTTTAGTGCAGTTTTTGTGGTAAAATTGGGTGCCTCGGCTGATATTTGGGTTGCCTTATCCTCGAGTATATACGGTATATTGAGGGCAAGAAGACAAAATACTCCTTTATTTTAGTAATCAAAGGTGAAAAGAGGGGCATTGGTGTTAGTGTAATAAGTGAATAGGCATAAGAAGTACATAAAAATGTATTGTTAGTTGCAGTCTTGTTGACTAGAACCTGGACGATGTACCGTTTAAGAACCATGTTGCTAGGGACTCTAGTCACACAGGATCTGTCCGTTTTCACTGACCAGTTTTAGGAAGTCGATTGCCAGGCTGTCCCCCTGCTCTGTCTTATAATCTGGACCACAGAACCCCACACTCAGTGCCGTGCAGTCCATTCTGGCTCATAGCAAGACTACAGGACACGGTCGACCTGTCCTTTTAGGTTTCTGAGACTATCTTTCTGGGAGTAGATTGCTGCATCTTTCTCCCTCAGAGTGGCTGGTGGGTTTGAACCGCAGGTCTTGTGACGACTAGCGGCTCTGTGCGTAGCTACAAACTCATTGCCGTCCAGTTGATTCCGAGTCATGGTTTTCTGAGACAATCTTTACAGGAGCAGAAAGCTGTGTGTGTCTCTCGCTGTGCCGCTGGTGGTTTCAAGCTGCTGGCCTTGTGATGCACAGCCTGGTGGGTAACCCACCAGGGCTCCTCAGCTCTTTGGAGGAGGAGTCCATGTTGGTGCTGCTTGAGGGTATCTAGGACCTGAAAATATTCCCTGAAAAGGAAAGGAAGTGTGAAGCTTATTTTGCTGTTTAGCAGATAAGATAGAAACCTATTCTATGTAAATGTAGTTGGGTGTTGAAAGGGTTTGGGCTTTCTAATTATTCTGACTCTTCATTTAAAGCAGTGGTTCTCAACCTTCCTAATGCTGCAACCCTTTAATACAGTTCCTCATGTTGTGGGGACCCCCAACCGTAACATTAATTTAGTTGCTACTTCATAACTGTCATTTTGCTACAGTTATGAATCAGGCGACCCCTGTGAAAGTGTTACTTGACCCCAAGAGGGGTTGAGACCCACAACCGCTGTTGTATAGGAAGATATAATAAACCGTGTGCTCACTTTAAGGCAGCATAGCTGGGGGTGGGGAGGGGATCTGTGGGAATGACATTTAAAACAGAATAGTGTTCTTGGACTTTACCTCTAACATGCAAAGTGGAGGCTTTTGTACCGTGGAATACCAGCTTTCCCGATCCCCTCTAAGTTAGGAAATATAGTTCTCATCATATTTCCCTTGGTGTTAGTTTCCCAGAATTTGAGGGAGTGAAAAATGAAATAACTTTAAAATACTAAGAATGGTACCTATAGTTCACAATGGACTTTTGAGTGATTATTCTGAGTTTAGTGATTGTGTCACGATGTGTGTGTAATGTGACATAATTTGTGACACCACACAGTGTGGTGATACAAAGGTTTATGCTTTGGATTGTAAGGTTAGCGATTCACCTTTACCAGGTAGAAGGATGGGATCATCTGCCTCCATTTAGAATGCTCAGTCATGGAACTCCTAAGGAGCAGTTCAGTTCAGTGAGTCAGAAATGGTATGATGGCAGTGGGAGGACGTGGTGCAGTGGTTGAATGCCAGGAGGCTAAACCAAAAGATTCATGGGCTGGAACTGTTAGAAGCAGATCGCCAGATTTTTTCTTCCTTGGGGCTACTGGGTGGTTTCTAATGGCCACCTTTTTGGTTAGCAGCTGAGTGCTTCACCTGGAGCTGCAGGTGTCCTCCTAGTGCTATAATTTAGGACTTAATTTTGTTAGCGTTAGTTAATGAGGCTACATTTCCTGTATTTGTGTTTAAGCTCAAGAATTGTAAAGCTACATGGAATTATATTTTCTCACTCTTTTTCTGCTTGTAGGATACAATGGTCCCAATTTAAAGGCTATTTTATTTTCAAACTGGAGAAAGTGATGGATGATTTTAGAACTTCAGCTCCTGAACCAAGAGGTCCTCCTAATCCTAATGTCGAGTATATTCCCTTTGATGAAATGAAGGAAAGAATACTGAAGATTGTCACTGGATTCAATGGGTATGCACTTAATACTATTTTAAAGATTTACATTTTGCCAAAATACAGATTTTTATCCCATCAAGTTTTGATGTGTTTTATTGTTTTACTAATTGATCCACTAAAAATATAGGTTATGTTCTGTGTCTCTAATGACATGTATGTATACAGATATGTATGTGTATATATATATACAGGAAGCTTTGGTGGTATAGTAATAATGCATTGTGTTGAGATTTGAAAGGTTAGCAGTTCGAAATCACCAGCAGCTATGAAGGAGAAAGATGGAGCTTTCTGTCCCTGTAAGCAGTTACAGTCTCAGAAACTCACAGGGGCAGTTCTACCTTGTCTTACAGGGTCGTCATGAGTTGGCATGACTCAGTGACAATAGTTTGAAAGAGAAGTTAACCTACAATTCTGGTTGTAGGTATACTATACGTATGCACACACACAGTATTTTCTAATTTTTCATTTGCACGTATTAAAAATCTTTGCAGGTTGGTTTTCGTTTACTTGATTGGTACTAATGTCATTCAGGCTAACCATGGAAACAGTGCCTCAGGAAATAGTTTAATGTTATAGAAGTATTCTAGTTGTTACTTAAAAAATGTTTACTTCTTCCTGTCACCCCCCAATAAGTAACTTTTTTAGTCATTGGTAAAATAGTACACTAAAAAGGTGTACTGCTCCAGAGTAAAACCGATCTAAAAAAACTGTTGGTGCGTCTCACATTTTATCATTTAAAGTATTTTTCTTTTTAGGACCATGTCAATTTGGGGTTCTTTTTTGAGAGACTGCAAACCAATGGTTCAATATTTAGTGTGATGTCCTCAATGTGTGGAGTATGGGATTATAATACAGGTAATCCCTGAGTTAAAAACATATTCAAGTTACAAAAGAACTGCATGTAGGACCTGTGACAGTTCGTTTCTGTGGTTTTTAAAGAAATAACATTTTATGGAGTAGCACGTACCACATTCAGTGGTTCTTTGTATAATTTGCTGATGCTGTTTTTATGCCACCTAAAAAGACAAAGATTAGAGCTAGACTGATACTGCTAAAAAGTAACAATAAAACACAGAAAGGGGCATTGCACTTAAGTCAGAACCACCCGACGATGGAGTTGTTAGAATAGAACCCTCTTTTAAGTATTTTTAACACATGGCCTGATTTGGGGGCTACAGATAATTAATCACTTAGGATTTGCAGTAGACTAAGAGAAATAACCCTGTCTTCTGCAAATAAGCGTAACAATCTTGCATAAAATAAAGTTTTGTACACTTTTTTCCCTCTGTTACTTCTCATTTATTCAAAAATATTCCATAAAAAACTATTGATACGCCAAGTCATGTTAATCAGTTGCACTTTTTTTTTTTTTAAGTCCATCACTTGTAGTTGTTTCCTGGAATCTGGAATCATATGGAGACTGGTTTCATTGTATGTCCTTTTGTACTGTCATGAATGATTTAAACACTGGCATATATTTGCTTTTAAAAACAAAAAGTTTGAAGTACGCACGTTGGAGCCACGTAAAATTTAGAATGAATATGTTTAAGAAAAAAGACCACTTTTTTTAGACTTTCTGCTGACTCCTTTTTATGTCATTGAATTGTGGCTCCTGGAATAATAGGCCAGGTTAATATACTGCTCTGTAAATATTATGCTGATCTACTTGTTTCTGGTTTCATAATAGCAACTTTCATTTTCAATATTGTCGAGTGAAATTGGGCTAGACACCGATATCAAGGTTATAAATAAGTAAATATTAATACTTAGCTCAGAAAGTTATTTGAGCAGTTATTAGATGCCTGCACATACTTTTAAATAGAATTGCTTTTAAAACATGTTTCATCTTTGAACATAAATACAATTTTTCAGCGTGATAGTATGAGTCATTTTACTTAATCACAGAATTCTAGTTTTCATTAGTAATATGTTGAGTTTTTAATTAAAAATTTCCAATTTTACTTTTTTGTCTTGTCATAATATACTGGCATCTTGAAATATCTTTTTTCCATAAAGTAAAACATTTCTTTAATGTTTTACATATGGGTGAGTTGAGGGTTTACACACAGAGAGAGTTGGGAGTAGAAATAGTTTACATTTTTCAATTATTTGAGTATTTGTCCTTTCTGATATATCCCACCCCCCACCCAACCTTGTTTGTATTAAACCTATTGCTTTCTAGTTGATTCAGACTCTAATCCTATAGGACAGAATAAACCTGCTTTGTAGGGTTTCAGAGACTGTATCTTTACAGGAGCAGACAGCTTTTACCCTACTCCAAAGGAGTGGTGGTAAATTTGAACTACTTACCTTCAGTTTTGTAGCCCACACCGACACCAAAGCTCTTCTTTGTATTAGGGCATCATTCAAAAGTGCTATATAGTCTTACTTTTAAAAAGGTCCCCAAGTATTAGACACTGATAAGAATGACAGTGGAATCCTGTGATGTGCTTGCTGTAGTTACTTTTTAGAAGAGCTCTGACATCTCTGCTCATAGTCTTTTGTTGGCTCAAATGTGCAAGGCTGACAGTCGGCTTCCACTCAGTGGCGTCATGGGCAACAGGTCCTGTGCTCTGTTGTACAGTATGGCCACCCTACATACACGTAGAATTAACTTGTGTGGAATGAAAGTTCATTTTGTTTGTCTGTTGGTAGTGGTTACATGTTGGGCTGCTGACCTCAGGGTCAGCAGTTTAAAACCATTAGTTGCTCTGCAAGAGGAAGATAAGGCTTTTTATTCCCATAAAGAGTTAGTCTTGGAAACTCAAAGAGGGAAGTTGTACTTTGTCTCATGGGATTGATATGAGTCAGAATTTTCTCGATGGCAGTGAGTTTGGAGTTGCTCTATGATAGAATAGTTACAAAGTTTTTTGAGGGGTGGAGATAACTTACATGCCTATAGCTTTAAAAACACATTTCATTTTAAATAGTGGAAGAACAATCTGTTCAAAATTAATCACTGAAGTGCTGCTCTGTTAGATCTGAGACTTCTCTAATGTAGACAGAAGTCATGTTCTTGTGTGTAGATGGTTAAGCACCATCAGCAGTAACTAAAGATGGACTGTTCAAAACTCAGCCTGGTTCCATGAAGTTTACGGCTTAGGATATTCGATGGGACAATTAATTCTATTCCATTCCTATGTAAATTGTTAAGATTTGATTCTGTGAAGCCACAGGAACAGTGTGCAGATAGTCTCCGAGTTAGGATGTGAACGGCACCTATCAGTGCTCCTTTCTAGGTACCTCTCGTGGTGAGCGAGCAACGCTAGTGTTGCAATGTGTACTTTTTCTGGTGTTATTTTCACACCAACCCTCAAAGACAAATTTTGGATTTATGAAGATAGTGATGATGATGATAATAAAAGACGATAATGAAAACGTTTTAAAAGAGTTATCTGACCTTAGAACCAACATATGACTGATTTTTTTCAGAACAGTTACCTGCATATTTGAAAAAGAAGCTTTTTTGGCACATTTGTTAACATTTGGTTGGAGGTTAGCTGTTGGAACTCACCAGTCCATCCAGTGGTGAAAAAACTGGCTGTCTACTCCCATCAAGAAACCCTAAGGAGCAGTTTTACTCTATCAAAAAGGGTTGTTGAGATTCGCAGTCAGCTTGCTGGCATATACTAATGGGGTGGTGGAGGGGGGCATAGCGGGACACTGCTTCAAAAAGCTCGTGGAAAAATGGAACAAACAGCACTGGAATTCCTCTTAACCTTTTAAAGCCCCTCATGCATACTTATCTGCAAGGTACTTAACACCTAAAATCGTTTAATCACCTCTAAGACATACACAGATAGTCACAACTTAGAGGATTGCCTATATTTTGTTTTGATAATTTTTCTGATTAATTTCTTAAGTTTTGGTGTACATGATTAGTTACATATCCTTGGCTCTAAAAAATTTTACATATATATCATAAGGTTCAGTATTTGAAGTTGCCACTTTAGCTTTTTCCCATATGAGGGAGACTGCAAAAGTTTGTGGAAATTTTTCATTATCTTTTTTTTCTTTTTTTCCCCCATTATCTTTTAATTCCATTTTCCCACAAACTTTCAATAGCGCCCTCACATGTCAATTTTTTAAGAGTCTAAAATCTGGACCGTAGATATATGAAACACAGTCCCCTTTGGGTTTTTGTATTGTATGAGAGTCTGGATCTTTAGTCCTTTGTTCTTTCTTTTTGTAACTCCCTTGAGCCATTTTGTTGCTGATTTGCATCCACAGTTGGCTGGGAAAGATACTTTGTGGACTTTAATTGTGTCAGTATTTGAAATGTTTCTTTCCTTTACCTTTACCCCATTGGATGTTGTGTATGTACCTTAGAGTTGGTTCCAACTCATAGTGAGCCTATAAGAGAGTAGAACTGCCCCATAAGGTTTCTAAGGCTGTAATCTTGATGTGAGCAGTAGTCTTTTTTCTAGTGGACTGGATGGCTGCTGGTTTCAATTGCCAACCTTTCAGTTATCAATTGAGTTGATTCTGACTCCTAAGGAAGGACAAGGTAGAATGGTTCCCTCGTGACTTTCTGAGACTTTAGCTCTTAGAGTAGAAAGCCTTATCTTTCTCCTGTGGAGCATCTGGTGATTTCGAACTGCTGCTACTCTTGTGGCTAACAGCCCAACTGGTGACCCCACAGGCTCTTGAGCAGCTTAAAAATTAGCATCGTTAGGCAGTGCCTCTCACTCTTTGCTCTTGTCTTGCCTAGGAATATGTTTCCTAGAAACTCTAGGAATATGGTTTGATACGTTACTCTGTAACAGAATTCTTGAATCACAAAGAAACGAGCAGAAAGCTAATTTATCATTTCTTTATTGTTTTTTGATACGAGTAAACTAATCAAACTAGACACTGATTAACTGAATTAACTACTGCTATAGATGTTTTTAGAAATGGGGAATGGTGTAGACACTATTTTACATACACTGTTTTGAGACTCCTTGTTGAAAGAGGTTAATTTCTAATTATCTTAATTTCTTAAAATATTCATTTTTAATTTCACAATTTTTGAT